GACTTAGGAGGCTAAATGATTGATATTGCCCGACGGATAGTGGGTGGTTCGGTTTACGGGCGTGCGAGCCATACCAAAGGAAAAGTCTAGATTGGGCCCATTCAAGCTGTCGGGCCAGTCCAGAGCAAAAAATATATCACTTCTAATCACAGTTGACAGGAAGAACCATGACGCAGTAATTGTGCTTTACACCACGATTGAAAATAATAACCGTAATGATATACAAGGAGCTGAGATAATGAAAGAATTGAGATTCGAACGATGTAACTCCTAGTACATTTTACTACGGAGATTAACAAAGTCCATAGTAAAATATTTTTAATAAAAACAAAAACAAAAAATCCAAATACATGTTTTTATCACGTTCAAAGAATGACCGCTGTAATATTATTTGATGAAAGATGTTTTTCGTAGTAGTGCAAACCAAATTATTACTATATTTTAGGTGGAGTTCTCGTAGCAATTTGCCTTTAAATTTGATAATAGACATGCATGTGAAAAGGACTTTGAAGTTAAAAAAAAAAAGAGAAGATAAGTGATCTAAAATTTTGGTGGAAAAAATAATTTACGTAGAAAGTTAGAATTAGAAATCAATTTTCACCCACAATATCACAGTTCGGTTATAAACTAGAAACAAAATGTGAGATGGTGGAATTATGTCTCACTTCGGTGGACTACTGCCAATTCAACGAAGCAAGATAGATTTGTAAAATTAACATTCAATATTTAAAATACTAAATTATAAGATATTAATAGAATATTAGATTTTTAATAACATAAATATAATTATTTATTATTTATCTTTATTCTATTACTAATAAAAAATAAAATTATGAAAAAAATATTCTATGAAATAATTATATTATATAAATTATTTTTCTTATATTATTAATAAAAAATAATTTTATAAAATAATTTAAAATCTCTTTTTATTTATATAAAATTTATTATATTTTTTAATATGTGGCAAAGTGTCTTAATAACTAATAAAAAAATATTTTGAGTTGATCTAATAATTAAAATCGATTGAATCGGCTCATACCTTTAATATGATCTAATAAATACTGGCTCAATAAAATAATAATTTTTTTAATGATGTGATTTTTTTAAATGTGTTTAAACTACAGATTAAAAATTCAATTTGATTTAATAATTAAAATTGTCCACTTTAAAAGTGAATAAATAAACTATTTCAGATTGGAATTCGCATTCAACCATTAGATATTACTGTACAATTACTATAAAAAAATAGTGTATCAAAATTAGTATTTTAGACAAATTAAAATGTGATAGAAATTAAAAACAAAATAAATATATTTAATTTTAACAATTCTGACACTTATCAAGAATTTTTTAATCACTTTTATATTGAAGAAAGAATGGAAAATTGATACTAATTATTATTATTATTATTATTATTATTATTATTATTTTTATTATTATTATTATTATTATTATTATTATTATTATTATTATTATTATTATTATTATTTGTGGAGGAAATACTATTTATTTATTAAAGAATAGATGCTTGTTAGCTTGTACTCGTATGAATTAATCAACGTAATTATCGCTATCAATGGAGGAAATTTGGTTCCATAAGTGACTATATACATACATGTTTACTTACGACTTTACGTTATAATCACATTTTAATCTACAAACAAAGGTGGCTCAGAATCAATAGCATTATTCTTGGCAGTGTTAGGAAAATAAAAGAGAAATCAATCTTGGCAGTGTTAGGAAAATAAAAGATCAACTACTTATCTTATTATGGAAACAGACAATGCAATTTCTTCTATCACATGCCACTATATATATATATATATATATATATATATATATATATATATATATATATATATATATATATATATATATATATATATATATATATATATATATATATATATATATATATATATATATATATATATATATGTTCAATATTTTTTAACAATATAATATTGTCAAATTGAATTTTTTTTTAATAGTTTTCATTTATTTTTAGAATTTTTTTTTTGAATAACCATGTATTAAAAAAAATTTCGTAAATAACCACGTTTCAAAAAAAATTATGCAAATAACCATGTTTCAGATGACTCTCCAAAGGAGGTGCCATCTCACTTGACGCCTACACCCATTATTTAAGGGGAGACGGCATCTCACTGGCGCCTAGGTGCTTAGGGTTTGTCCTAAGCCAAGTGAGATGGCGCCTTAGTGCATTTCTAGGGCAAATTTCACATTTTTTTTTCAATCTGGTGCGTTGCGTATTCGATACAGGATCAACAAAATCCGGTGAATTTTTTTTTGAATAACCATGTATTAAAAAAAAATTTCGCAAATAACCGCGTTTCAGAAAAAATTACGCAAATAACCATGTTTCAGATGACTCCCTAAAGGAGGAGCCATCTGAATTGGCGCCTACTCCCATTGTTTAAGGGGAGGCGCCATCTCACTTGGCGCCTATGTGCTTAGGGCATGCCCTAAGCCAAGTGAGATGGCGCCTAGGTGTTATTTTAGGGTAAAATTTGAATTTTTTTTTTGTCCGGTGCGTTGCGTGTTGGGTACAGGATCAACAAAATGGACTTTTTATTAAAAAAAAAAATTACATCCAACTGTATTACATTAAAAAAATAGATAAAAAAACAGATAAAAAAAACAGATAAAAATATACAAGAAAAAAAAATAGATAAATCAGTGATCCCCCGGAACCCGGTAATGACCCCCGGTTCTGCATCTCCGTCCTCGTCTTTCCCGTGCTGGGTGTCGTCGCGTTTCCTGCTGCAGCAGGGTCGATGGCCCAGCGAAGTCAATGCGGTTCGGATCCATAAAATCAGTCAGATCTCCATATCTAGAAGATCCGCTTTGGTACAGTCGGTTACCCATACCCTCAAAGTTTGGTCGTGTTGACGGTGGGTGGGGTTCCCTGGTGGGTCTGTAGCATTGATCGTCTGAGTATGGTGGGTAGAAAGGAAATGGATCTTGGGGTGTTTGGTATTGAGGATGTTGGGTGGTTTGGTGATATTGTGGTTGATGGTAGGCTGGGTCGGTTTGTTCGTAATTGTTGTACCCCAATTTTTGACCTAAGATCCCATTTTTATTTTTGCATTTTTAAGATAAGTCAAGGTCACGAAATACAGTCGGTTTTCAACGTCTTACCTTCGAGCTTTGACTATGCGAAGATTGTCAAGTGTTTTGAACATTTTTAGCATATGTATCACTAATTTCTAATCGCATACAAAGGTGTATGTTCATGTTCTTTTGTGTCATGTGCAGAGACAGGTCTGAATCAAGAGCATCAGGTGTCGCGCCTCAATTAATGTTTTGAGTCTCCCAAGCCAGAAGTACGGTTGATTATGGATTCTCGAAGACTGATTCGTCAAGGCACAACTGTTGCACCCTAGATTTCGCCCCTAATATGTTTTAGTCGCACTTTCATATCATATTTTGTTATTTGGTCACGATCATTAGTAAATATCTTCATTCATCACATTTTGCATCATTAGTCGTATTTAAGTTGATCAGAAAAAGTCAGTTTAAATCAAAGTTTGCATCGTCTTTCAGTTGTAAAATACCCGGCATTTTGCTTCATGCATTTTTATCTATTTACTCATTTGTTGCATTGCTCCAAGTTGTTTATATGTCAATAATAAAAATATTTTGGTTTTATAGACCGACTGTTAAAAGCGATTCGACACTATGTGGGAAATTAGCGAGAAAATATTTCAAGTTTTCACCTTTTACCGATCATTTTATGAATCTGCGCTTCGCGTAGATTATGACGGTATGCTCGCTTTATTTTTTCGGTACAGTTCGGAGTCTTGTTGTTAACCTTAAACGTCTGTTGAGTCTGATATTTTTATTATTATTTTATTTTGATTTTTGACTTCTTGAATATTTTTTCTTTAATCTTTGCGACATGTAGATTATTTTAATGTGTTCATTTTATTTTTCGGATAAATTTTCGTCTGTGTTTTATCATTTTCGGTCATTTTGGGTCTTTATTCTTTATTCATAAAACATTCAAAAATCATTTAAATTGAGTTAATTTTAATACATTTAGTTTTTGGTTATTTTTATCATTTAAGGACTATTTGGTCACAAAAATATATTGTTACACTATACTCTATTCCTATTGGCTGTTGGATGAGATTGAGGATCGATACACACAATGCTATATTCCTATTGGCTCTTTGATGAAATTGAGGATCACACCACCATACACCCTTCAATGTTCCTCTTCTTCCATTATCTTCCACCCACAGCTTGTTATCACCAACAACCCACGCCACTCAACCAAATCATCCCTTCAATCTTCTTTCATCAACAGCCGCTTTCCGTTATCACCACTAAACCCTTCTTTTTCTTACACAATCAAAACCCTTCACCAAAAAAAAACTTTTATTCACACAAAATCTTATACACATAATTTTTGTCCCACTGTGTACATATGTTGTATAGAAATTCACACATATTTCTACTCTTTTCCAATTTTACCTCATACATGTTACTAAAAAAAAAAACATCACTTTGTTTCAAGAACATACAGACCCACTTTGCTATATGTTCAAAGAATATCACCACATTTCAAAGAAACACAAATCACCAAAGATCTAACTTACAACTCCTGAAACTGCCACCTCCATGGCTTCATTGTTCAAACTACAACATCATCACCATACCAATAACAACATATTTAGAATAAAAAAGAAGAGCAAAAAACTCGATTATGAAAATAGCGAATCCAACCACCTGTAAATCACTGTCGCCGCATTAATTGTGTAGTTTTTTCATCGGTTATATTTTGGTTTTGTTCAGAGGTCACTGTCAAATGAAAAGAGAAGAAATAATGATGTCGACACGTGAAGAAACACCAATGCCTCCCAGACCAGAACCGCAAGACTTCCTCCGACCCATACACAGCCGCTCCAGACATCACCGAAATCCCGACGCACGCCCCAAATCGCTAGCGACCTGCACCGACATCTAGCCTCACCATGCTGCTCAGCCACCAAATCTGGACACGCAACTCGCGAAACACCCTCCACGTATCACCAGAGAACCGCCCTCGACGGCCATCAACCGCTCACTCAACTGCCGCCTTGAATCACCATCATCACAGTCGCAAATCGCCCTTCCTCGCTGCCAACCATCCACCGAATTCGCACGCGCAGGTCCGCGTCAGGAACAACACCCAGATCTTCCGTACTCGCCGCTCAGCCGTCATCGTCGCCTTGTAGTCGCCCTCTGTATCTATCGACCACTATCATTAAGGAGAAGGTGAGTATGTCTTTTTGGCCATTTGTTATACATGATTTTTGTTAGGCTTATGGGTTGTTTTAAAAGATGAAGAAAGGTTGGGATTTGATGAAACTTAGAAAAGTGAGTTTAGAGAAACTCGTTGGAAGAAGAGAGAAGAATGGAAGGTAAGTAAAACACTTTTTTCTCTCTCTAATATTATTTTTATATAATGTTTGTTTTATTTTATTTTTTCCTTCACATTTGCCACGTGTTAGCATAGGTGTGGCTGCAATTTCATTTTGAAGTGATCAACATTTTCTCCAATAAGTAGTCCGTCTCCTCTCCCCTCTTTACCCCATGATTTTTTGTTGTTATTATTTTTTCAAATATCTATTATCATTATTAATATTAGGGTTTATTTTAGTGATTGGGCTTTTGGGCTCATTGTTTCTAATCTCCTACTTATCCTAGCATTAATTCTAACCTATACCCTCTTAGATTTACTTATTAATTAGCTTTTCTAGTTTAATTTTAGTTTAGAATTATTTTAGTAATTTTAAGTTCATTTAGGATTATTTTAGTAACTTTAGAATTATTTTTAGTTATTTTAGATTTAACTTAATAACTTTAGAATTTTAATTTAGTTTATATCTAATTTAATTTTAGAATTATTCTTTATAACCTTAGAATTATTAGTTCAGAATTATTTTAGTAAGTAATCTTAGAATTTTAATTTAGATAATTAGTTCCATTCTCTTTTAAATATCTTTGTCATTTTAATTCTTCGGGGTCTTTCGATTTATTTCCTTGTGAATTTTCGAATGTTCACATTTTGGCATCCATGTTATTTTGTTCGTCTGTCTAAACTCCAAGGAAAAGATTTAAATCTTGTTGACTTCATGTCATCAAATACATCTCATCCGATCGTGTGAATACCCTCATTCATTTTTTGCTTATTTACTATTTTTTCCAAACTTAAGATAATTTTCCCAAAAGACTCCATTTTCAAACTCACACCTTTTAAGTCAAAACTTCGACACTAGGTCGTCACATCTTCAAAATCTCTCCAACACCGATTTTTAGTCAAACGAACCATTTTAATCAAACAAACAATTTTAACCAAAAAACAAATATTTCAAAAGGTTCCTGCGGAGTACCGCAGATGCATTGGGTGCTAATACCTTCCCACTGTATAACCAACCCCCGAACTCTCGACCTCTTTCGAAAACGCATTGTATTTTTATTACTTTTAAGTATTATTTTACATTGCATATTTTAGGGTTTTATTTCGCTCTTTTCCCTTTTCCCTTGGAAATAATAAAGCGCGGTGGCGACTCTTGCTTTTGTGAGTCAAGTTAATTAATAGCTTGATCTCCGATTTTCACCGCTACAGAATTGACGACTCTGCTGGGGACAGATTGACCTCTTGCTGGTCCATCCCTAAGTGGGTTAAGCCTAATTTGTTTTATCTGTTTTATCATTATTTGATTGTTTGATTATATGTATATATTATGATTATTTGGGTGTTGATAATATTTACAAAGGACAAGTCCTATACCCGGACTAAGTTACACTTAGGAATAGGACGGGCGGTATAGTCATGTTAACTTTGAGGGAGTAATCCCGAAGAAGGAGGCATGAGATCCCCCACTCAGTGGAAGGCCCTTTTGAACGTAATATTTGTTTACCGAGTAATCGGGAAGACATTATTATTTTCGACCTGGGAGCCAGAGAAGCTGGGAACCGTAGAACCCTAACCCATCTTGGCCTTTTAGGTGTAGCGCGGAGATTATAACGGAGTAATCCGGAAGTAGTTGTCACGCGATGCTACGCTCGGATGAGTTTCTCTTGAGAATATTGCTGATTATTGAGTAATCAAGACGTTGGTAATATCCGAAGGAGGAATGTAGACTCCGGGAACTCTTAGAACCTTGTTCTACAGGTGTGATTAAACCGTTAATACATACCTTGGGGGTGTTCCTTACCTTGACTCCATGCTCGTGACGTTGAACCTTTCGACTTTATTTGTGACCTTGCTTGTGGTTGTTGCATAGCCATGCATTCATGCATCCATAAAACCCTTTTCACTTGACTTTGAAGGAATTTGGGGGTCTTTCTTTGTAAACATCACGAGTTTCATCAAGCTCAATGGATCTTGGGTGTTGATAGGGCGAAAACCCTAATCCACCAAAATGGATGATTGATCTTGATGATAACTTGATCAATGTTTGGAGCCAATTTAAAATTCATCTTCTATCTTCATGCTTTGATGTTTACAACTTAATATCTTGAGCTCTTTGAAAATCAAATAAAAACTCTCTTTTGCATATCATACATCATTCTACATTTTTTTTGTTTCACTTTCAAAGGTCTTTTTCCAAGTCTTATTTTTCCTTTGGTCTCACCAGTACAACACTCGCGCTAAGAGGACAATGGAGAATATCAAGCAAGAGGTTTCTGAACTCCGTAGAGAGATGACTATTTTGAAAGCTAGTATGGAGCACTTAACTGGTTTGGTTGAAATTCTGGTTGCCGCCCAAGTCAATCCTTCTAGGAGGGACGAAGCGATGATAAAAGTCTTCACTGAAACTCTAAAATCATTCTCTCATGAGAAGGTGTTGGTTAATGCACCTAATGACTTTCCTGACAAGGTGAATGTAGGAGTGCGTCTAGAAGAAGATGTTGGGAAGGGATGTTCATATGAAGATGGTAGCTCAACTAATGGTGTGAAGAATTTTGATAATAACTTTTCCAAGAAGAGAACCAGAGGAAGAAATAATCATTGTCAGAATCATCATGTTTCTCCTATTCATCAACAGAATCAGCAAGTTCCTAATCGGAGGAAAACCCAGTTTAATCCAATTCCAATTACCTATACAGAGTTGTTCCCTATCCTGATGCAGAGGAATTTGGTTCAGACCCGACCTCCACCGAAGGTTCCTGAGAAGATACATTGGTACTACAAAGTTGATTTGGCTTGTACCTTTCATCAAGGTGCTCCTGGGCATGACTTAGAGGGTTGCTTTGCTTTGAAGATTGAGGTTCAGAAGTTGGTCAGAAGTGGTGTCTTGTCATTCAAAGACGTTGGTTTTGAAGTTCAAATCAAGCATGCGCCAAAGAGTAAACACAATTGATGGTGAATTTGATTTTTGAAGGATGTTTTCGGTAATTCAAGTCCAGATGGAAAGCCTTCCCAGATCATTAACTTATTTCTGTTTTTTGTAATTTTTCTTGTTTATCAAAACATTGTTTGCATGTAAGAACTTGTTTGCATCTGTATGATTATCTTAGTACAATGAGTATGTTTGTCTTGAAGAAATTCATTCGTTTTACTCATATCTGTTTTCAAATTTTAAATTGCTTTTGCACTATGATACCAAATTGTTGCTCATTCTCTTGCCTAGGCAGAGATTGAAGGGAGGATGATGATCTAAAGAACACAAAATCTCTGGTTGTTTGCTTTTGGATAAAATCTTGCTGATGATGTACAGGCATTGTTTCAAATCCCTAAACACTGGAGATATAAGGAAGATAATCCCTTGCTAACCCCTTTTGAGCCTTGAAGTAGAAGTTTCTTTTCTATACGAAAAAACCTTGAATTTTAACCAGGGGCAGGGTAGTTTTTAGTTAATCTGACTGAGTGTTCGAAATTCATAAGGAAGATGTTTTTTGAAGAGAAACTACGAGGGCTATCTTTCATGTATAATGAAGCCAGAAGATGTGGAACCACAATGTTATCCCTCATTCATCAAGAAACGAGGCAATCACGATCCTCTCAACAAGCAAATACAAGCTAATGTCACACATTTTGTTCAAAAAGTCAAAAATTGAGAAAAAAGAAAAAGTCTGCTAAGTCAAAAAACATGAAAACGTGTGACTTAGGCAAAATTAAGGCATCCCGCTGGACTATCAATTCAAAAGAATTAGTTCAGGCAAAAGTTAGGGAAAATAAAATCGCAAAGAAAAGGACTGCAAAGAAAAGTCCTCAACAAAGAACAAATTGGTGACTACAAACACGAAGACATGAGGGTGGTTTCTACTCCGAAAGCCTCGTCGTTTCTTTGACCGTCACAAAATCCTTTTGAGAGATGAACACTCATGTTGAATTAACTGAACATAGGATTGGAGAACATCATGAAGGGGGTGGGCACCAAATATTTTGAGCCTTAAAATCTTTTTTCTAAAAAACCATGAACCAGGCCACATTACAACCTTCAAAAGTCCTAATTGAAGCAAGGTTATTTTGAAAGCATACTTCAATGAGATAGTGTTCCTGACTCCCATGAATGTTCTAAATAGTTATGTTGGTATCATATGTTTTTCCTATACAAAAATAAATGATGCTCTAACTCGCAAAATTTGTGCGATATCTTTTCAAAAATCTTCAAGACTTACATAACTGTTGCATTAGAATTTTCATTCTCATTGTAAACTTTTTCTAACTGCAAAACATTTGTTTGATATCAAGGAAGCTCACATAAGCACCAGCGATGAGTTTATTCTTTTAAGGCCTGAAACTATGTTGAGTAATTGGCGAATCATTTCAAGAAAAAAATCATATCCAGGGGCATGTCACCTGAAGACCGTAAGCACGAACATGTTGCTTCTCCCAGTTAATGCTTTTCCCAACTTGTTGTTCGTTTGGGGCAAAAATTCGAAGACTTTGTTGTGCCGACTACAGTTAATCCGGGGCAATCACGTCGAGATTTGATGAATCTCTCTAAGAGTTTGAAGACACCAGAGCACGATGGATGCCAAGTCTTTTGTAAAATCCTCTTGAGACGATTTATCCTCATCAACCAGATAGCTTGGGGCATAATTAGAAGTGAAGCTATTCGCAAGAATTGTCGTGCATCATGCAGCTTATCAACAGTAAACTTGGGGCATCCAAAATTAATCCCAGGGGTAATCCAGATTTGTCAAGATATGTTTTTCATACATTATCAGAGGGTGGTGTTCCCAGTATCTCCAGTTAAGCATGACTTTTTCCAGCTGAAAC